CTAAATTTTCAGCTTCCTAGCTTTTGTGGTTCCCGAGTTGAAAATTGCGGACAAGTTGCTGCGGACGCACACAAACACGCAAACGGGCAACCCGTGACAATATGCGTTTTGTGCTGCTGTTGCAGAGCACAAAACGCATAAAAACTGCACGACCTTTATTTAATTCAGTGACACCACAATTTTTGGTATATTAGTGAAACTTCGATATGCAGTCACAAGCATTTTACAAACCTTTTTGGTTCTTTGATAACATGCAAAAAAACCAAAATGTAGGGTCCTTAGAAAGACCAAATGCCTGACTGTAATTTTAGCTCTAACAAGTATAATAAGATGATCGAGTTCGAGGTATAATGAAAATTGTCCCAGTCCAGATTTATTAATAATTTAGACAAGAAACCGAGCTCAAAATGTTCAAATCTGGACGCGTTGCTTTTTGCCACTACGTTTTAAAAATAAGTCTTCCGCTGTACCAAATGTCAAAAAGTCAACCGGATTTGAAGATCAGTGTTTTTACCTTGAGCAGCATTATCTGTGAGAGATGGAAGTGCTACACTCGTGTTCACTGTTTTATCCTGCAGCCCTGCATCGCTCTGTTCCGTCTGTAACAAAGTTTCAAAACTGAGACGAATGTTGAGCACTTCTCTTTGTATTGAGTGTGTGTTTGTCTTTTCCCTTAGAACGAGTTAAAATTTTTGCTGCAAATTCCACGAATTCCGCTGCATTCGGTTGTTTTAATAAGCATTCAGGGGGGGAGGGGGGGAGGGGTGGGGGGTAGAGTCTGTGAATTTCACTAAATGCCACTTTTCCTTAAGCATTTTCCAACAGCATGTCGGAAAGGTTTGCACCACTCATGTGCTACTCGCCATTTACACTTCGTCATGATCTGAGGGCGGCAACTGACTAGACAGCGTCAAAGTACGGCGAGATACAAACCCTACCACGCCAAAGCATATCGAGAAGACATAGAGCCACATTTTTCACGGCTTAAGAACTGCCTTACTAACAGGTATGAATGCAGTAAAATTAAATGAGTTACGTACAAAACATAAAATATAAAATGCTGCATGGAGATAAAAGTGAAAAGAAAATAGAAAACAAGAGTTCCTGTACTATCTTGCGCACTCTTCGGACTGGTCCATTTTGGCCGAACGGTGTCAAATCACGGAAGGTTGCTAAAAGCCTCAAAGTATCAAGTAATGCTGCAATGTATACGCTAGACTTCATGACAAGCCGCGAGCAACTGTAGAGTGCTGTGGAACGCACACGCCAACAATGCTCTTGTGGAAATTGCATGAACATCAGGTAGCATTCTCAATATGAGTAAACACGTGAAGAACCAGAAAAACCTTAACCTGGAGAGATGGCCAAAAGATTTTTGTTTGGCACAAGAACAAGAGGGAGGAATGTTAGAGCATTTGGGTTTATCACTAGCAGACGTAATCCTGAGCAAAGCAGCTTGCTGAATGTTACCCACGAAATTTTAAAAGTACAAAGGGAAGATGATCAATGTAATGGAGGAAGCTGCTTGAATGGATGCCTGAAATTAGGTAAATGAGAAAGGCCTAAAACGGAAAAAGATGGCAGGTTACTAGATGCATCAATGGTGAAAGGCGCACCAGTGAAAAAACAGCTGGTCCAAATGTCAAAGCTAGGAACCATTTATGTGAAACATTTATCGTTTTCACTCGTAGCGACTCGTTGTTCTCATTCCCAGTTCGAATCCTAACAGAACCTTCGAAATCAGCCAAGGTTGCGCTTTTAACACGGCAGGTGATGACCACAGTGCTTCATTCTGATCTATCATCAAGAAATTTGGGCTGAAATGTTTAAGTAGTAGCAGGTACTCTAACAGGGAACGGCATAAACAGAAAGAGGAAGTGTGAGAAGCATTTATAACCCAGGCTGGAACGCACCAAGCGGGCCAGTGCGATTATGCGTTTTTGCACTTTTCGTGCTGTAGCAAGATTGCAAGGAATCACAGCAGTTAACCCTGTGACATACAGGCCCTCGAAGTTCGGGAATTTAATTGTGCAACTGTTTGGTATGTCAGTTGTAGATGTCGACTTCAGTGACCAGACAAATGGAAAGTTGCTGGTCCGCAAAAAAGGCCGCACCAGAGGCGTTAAATATGAGATCTTTTGGTCACACATGAGTAAAGAACATGACCCTAAAGTTTCAGCTCTCCAGCTTTTCCAGTTCCCGGGTTAGTAATTTTCGCGTCAAAGTTTTCACTTACCCGTACATGAGCCCCGGACGGTCCTAAGAAGCTGAGTTTGAAACTTTTGGTCGTGCGTGAGTAGGGAGCATTCCCCCAAAGTTTCAACTTTCTAGCTTTTCTCATTCTCGAGTTATGAATTTTTCCACCATAATTTTCACATGCCCGTACGTAAGCCCCGGGCAGTCCTGGGCAGCTGAATTTGAAATCTTTTTGTCACACACAGGTAGGGAACATTTCCCTAAGGTTTCAGCTCTCTAGCTTTTCTCTTTCCCGAGTTATCAGTTTTCCTGCTAAAACTTTCACGTGCTCGCACGCGGGGCTCAAACGTGCGTGAGAGTTGACATCGCTGTCCTCGGGTTGTACTTGGCTAGGGGACGAACACACTGGCAAAATTTCAGCTTCAAAGATTGCGTGGTTGGCGAATTGAAATACCCGGAGAAACGAACACACACACACACACACACACACACAAAGATACACACACAGTGACGGGGTCGTTGCAATACGCGTTTTTGCTGCCTGTTGCAGCGCTTTATCGCTGCACGGCAAAAACACAAAACAACTAACCTTTCCAGCCTTACTTTCTTTATGTTCACCGCGCTTCTTTTTTTTCTCCTTCCGATGTTTATCCTTCTTATGTTTTTTCCGATCCTTCTCCCTGGTTCCATCGTTCGCATCTTTAGTCATTTCATTCCCATCCTCCTTCCCTTCTACTCCATCCTTATCCAACTCATCCATTCCATTCGCATATTCCTTTGCCTTTTTTCGGTGTTTATCCTTCTTTGGCTTTGTCGTATCCTTATCATTCTTCTTTTTCTTTTTCTTTCGTTCCTTCTCTGTTCGATCATCCCCGTCCTTCTGCATTTTGTTTGTTTCATCCCCGGCCTTCTTTCCACTCTCATCCCTTTCCTCTGCTTTTTCCTTATCATCAAATTTTTTCTTTCTTCTGCCAGCTGATAGTGGCTTATCCTTCGGTTTCTAAAATTATCCTACTTTTGCTCAGTCACAATAAAACAATAAGAAAATTTGGTGAATGATTTAGCACTGTTGGTTATGTACATAAACTGCTTCCTACCCAGCAATTCAACGATACTGCAAGCTGAAAGCATCCTGCTTCCGTCCGTGTCTCTTTAATTTTCGAAAAGCAGTAAGGTCGCCAAGATAATCAGTCCGAGAAAAAAGTTCCAGGCTCAAAAACACATTGTCAACCAATTTTTCGTTGATCTCTTTATCCTTTTCATCCTATCCACGCACCATTTTGAAACGGTTTTTCCAGAAGGAACTAGCTAGCGCGGTTTTCAGTCATTTTGTCTTTCAATGAAATAGTCAAAATGATGCGTAAATCATTTTCTGGAGT